CCCAAGAGTGGTATACAGGACTGCAATATAATTCTGTAAGTTAGAGTATATCCGCTAATAAAGCTGTGTTTAGCTTTTCTTCCTTCCAGCTGGAGGCTGCCGCGTAGATTCCCACCCAGGTCCTGCCCAGAGCTCAATCTGCTTGGATTCAGCAATGCAACTGTGTCATGTGCCATTAAATTATTCTTCAGGCCCTTCCCATAGGAGGTTATGCTTAATTGCTCAAATGCTCACTGCTTATAGACCATGAAGTGTATGCTTCCTCTAATGTAGCTTGATGAGTGGCTTTGAATGTATATTTTCTCTCTCTTCCCTCACCCACACACCTTCTCTCCCAACAAGCTGCTTTGCTCACGTCCGTCTTCGTCCCCTGTGCTTTACCGTGACAGCCGTCTTAAAAAGAAACAAGGGAGACGTCGCTGGTAGGTTGTGCAATGTACGGGTTGCTGATGATGCTCCCCTACAGGAGATGACCGACAGTTTGGGAAAGTGCCTGTTTGGGTCTACACCCCCCCCCAAAAAAGACCTTGAAATGCTTCGGCCAGTGTGGATAGTGGTCAATTTTCCAAGCTCGGAGGCCCAATTTACTGGCCCCGTTACAGTGAAATTGTTGCCATGAAATTTTTGCACCTATCTGTCAACGAAGGGCGTCAGAACAAACAAAGCCGCACCACGATCCTCAGCCCATTGGCCAAAGAACCACGTCAAATGTTGCCAGGACTGCCCTCTATTAAAAACGCCGCCAGTCTGAATCCCGTTTTACTTGACAACCCGGTCTTGTCTGACCTCAAAGCAGAGCCATGCTGGAGTGGAAGGATGATATTCTAAAGACGCCACTGCTTCTAACATGGGATTCTGCAGTTATTTAATTTAATCTAATTCTTCCCTCTCCTGCGCCTTTCCTTTTCCCCAGCTCTTTCCTGCTTTGCTACCTGACAGCCGTTAAAGATAGAAAGAAAGAAAGCAGGGTTCCTTTTTCGTTTATTAATTAGGATTCAAAAGAAAGAAACTCCCAAAGCAGCAGCGACGAGGAAATAGAATCCAAAAGACTGCCGAGTTTAGAAAAAGCAACGGGCAACACGGGGGGGGGCGTAGAAGGGGGGGGAGGAACTGCTTTGTCAGGAGGGTTCAAGGCCCCTAAGACCTTTATGCAAATCTTGCCATTAAATTAAAAAAAGGAGTGGGAGGGGGAAAAGCCGCTCCCTACTTTTTATTGCTATAAAATGGGCGGCAAGATCTGCAGGTATCGCCAAAGTTCCTCGGAAGAAACCAAAACTAGAATTCCAGAAATTGTCGGTCTTCACTCCCCGTTTTCAGACATTTGGGGGCTTGGTGCAGCCCGGATTAGAAAACTAACCCCAGTGCCAACCACAGCAGCCCACTTCAGCTTCAGAATAATAATCCTAAATAGCTGTGAGGAAAGAAACCGACTCGTGGGTTGGCATGGGTTCTGCAGACAGCATAAGGCTTTATTTTATTTTAATTTAAAATATTTCCACTCTGCTTTTCTCCTTTAAAAGGGACCCAGGGTGGCTTGCATCCGTAAAAGGCAATATTTAAAAGCTAAACGCAGTATGTATACAAATATTTAAAAAGAGTCCCACAATTACATATTCAAAACACAGCAATCCATTAAAAAAAACACCTCCCAAACAGTCCTACAATCTTAGTACTGCAGAGCTGGAAGGGGCCCTATGGATCGCCGAGTTGACCCATGGTCTAGGAAGCACAGTGGGGAATCGAACTCCCAACCTCTGGCTCCCCAGCCAGAGACCTAAATCACTGAGCTATCCAGCAGTTCAGTTACTAAGAAAAATCCTGCCTGGAGAGAAAGGTCTTTGTCTGCCGGTAGATTGGACAGAAAAGGTGGGGCCAGCCTGGCCTACTGTGGAAGGGAGTTCCAGAGTCTGGGAGCAGCCACCGAGAAGGCCCCCTCTCATGTCCCCATTAGACACACCAGTGAAGGTGGTAGGGCCAAGGGATGGCCTCTCCTGATGATCCTAACACCCTGGGAGGTTCAGAAAGGGAGACATGGTCTTTGAGATACTGTATTTTTCCTTGTATAAGACTATACTTTTGTCTAAAATCTTTAGACTAAAAATTGAGGGTCGTCTTATACGCGGAAGTAAGCTGAGGAGAGAACAAAAACAAGTGGAGGGGAAAGCAGGGATCAAAGTGATCCTGCAGCGCTTTGATCCCTTTCCCCCTACACTTGCTAAGCCCCACTTATTTTTCTTAATTTTGGATTAGAAAAGTGGGGGGCGTCTTATACATGGGGGCGTCTTATACGCGGGAAAAATACAGTAGTTTGGATCCAATCTGTTAAAGCTAGCATTTTGAATTGTGCCCGGAAATGTATTGGCAGCCAGTGGAAAGGACCGGTGAAGCTCCGTCAGCCACAGCAACAAATGTGTAGACAGGAGGGGTACGAAATCTCGACTCCCCAAGGAAACAAAACAGGGGAGCTGGGAAAATCCAGCAGTCAGAATGCATGGCTTTGTTCCAGAAGCAACGTCGCCGAGACCATCACTGAACCTTTCTCAGACTTATTTCCATGATCCATCAAACGGGCACAGTAACCGGCTGCTTTTGCAGTGGGTGGTTCTGAAGCCCTTTATCGACCTCAGCCCATTTCTTAGCAACGGTCCCCACTAAGGACACAACCGTCATAGTCAAAATGACTCCTCTTCCCAGCCTCCGGGGCGGCCAGAAACCCCCCCCCCCGATGTTGTAGCACCTATCCTGCACAGTTCTTGGCTCAAAAATAATTGCGTTTGAGGCAGTGGGGAGGGCGGGTGGAGGAGCAGCTTCGTCAATCAAATTGGGAACTACACCAAGGCCAACTTCATATCGATTCCTGGGGCATTCATCTCTGTATTTGCTGCCCATCAAGTGGAATAATCCACAGTACGTTTGACACGTTGATATTAGAAATCGGGGCTAAACGTAGACGGATGTGACACAGCCTCTGCTAGGGAAACTAACAAAACAATGGCCTTTTAGTCCGGTTCAGCCAAGAAGGAGATCAGATGGAGGAAGACAGAGCTACAGCCGTCCACCACTGTCAAGCAGAGCCTTCTATTGCTTTAAAATTTATTATTATTATTA